TGGTACGAAGTATAAATTGCTGATCATATGAATGTGTTCCAAGAAATACTTTGCTGTAACTACAATGGGAAATTACAACTTTTTTGGTTTTTGACAAACCTACTGGTGTTCCCAGGGAAAACATCTTTTTCAGCAAGCTCTGCCAACAGTGTTCTGAAGGAAATCCCTTTATGGGTTTCAGCTAAGAGTAAGACTACTTTTATTAGTAGTATATTTAACTATTAAATGAAATGTACCTGACCAAGGAGGACTTAAGTAATACTTAAGATCCCTTAATTCACTATACATGCATTTTAGGAAGATTATGAGAGCTTTCTTCTAACTCAGAATTGGGTAGCAAACTAAAAAATAAAGCCTTGCTGGAATTAGTTGGAAGTAAACTCAGTTTCCTGCACTCCCTATGAATCTCCTCGCACAAAGCATGTGCATTTTCATTTTGCATTGGGAGGATTCAAGTTCCCCCATGCTAAACGGTAAACAGAATACTTGCCTTCAGAGGCTTTGTGCTTTTCCCTTCTCTCTGTCCCTTTTACCTTCTCCCTGCCAAAAAAAAATTACTATATGTGTGTACATAATGGTTTCAACTTTACAAACGTAATTAGATTCTCACAGAACTTCTCTCCCTTGCTTCACCATTTCCAAGCGACGTGATGTGTGGCCAATTCTTGTCTGTTTCTCATATCCCTTTTTGGGTTCCTAGCCCTGCTCTGCATCACTTTTATAGACCCAAACCCACATGGTTTTGATTTGGCAGAGAATGGCAGATTGTTCCATAGTAGAAAGGATGTGGATACTTGTTTTTTGGACTTTGCTTGGTGTTTTTCAACCTCCACCTCCTGTTGTTCCCATATTGAATTTGGTTGTAAACTAGGAAGTATGCTACTCATTTTGTTATGTTGATCCTTTGAGATGGAGCTGCCCTTATGCCACTTCCATCCTCCTCTGATTCAGATCAAGTAGGTTTTTGGATATTTTTCACCCAACCTCTTACTGCTAAGCATTAATCAGTTTGGGAGAAAATTGGGACTTGTGGGTCCAACACAGCTTACATTGGATGTCTTTTACTGACAGTATGTAAGAGCTGAATAGTGTCTGTAAATACCTGTATCAGTTTTAAGGCTCCTTTATGTTATTACAGTGCTGCAAACTTGACTAGTGAGTACTAACCACTGGCAAACTGCAATTAGAATCATAGAAGCATAAAATAGTTAGGGTTGGAAAGGACCTTAAGATCGTCTAGGTCCAGTCCCCCTGCCATGGGCAGGGACATCTCACACTAAACCATCTCACCCAAGGCTTTGTCCAACCTGGTCTTGAGCACTGCTGGGGATGGAGCATTCACAACCTCCCTGGGCAATCTATTCCAGTGCCTCACCACCCTAACAGGAAGGAGTTTCCTCCTTATATCCAATCTAAACCTCCCCTGTTTAAGTTTTAACCCATTACCCTTTGTCCTGTCACTACAGTCCCTAATGAAGAGTCCCTCCCCAGCATCCCTATGGGCCCCCTTTCGGATACTGGAAGGCTGCTATGAGGTCTCCATGCAGCCTTCTCTTCTCCAGGCTCAACAGCTTCTCAGCCGATCTTCATATGGGAGGTGCTCCAGCCCCCTGATCATCCTTGTGGCCCTCCTCTGGACTTGTTCCAACAGATCCATGCCCTTTTTATGTTGAGGACACCAGAATTGCACACAATACTCCAGGTGAGGTCTCACAGGAGCAGAGTAAAGGGGCAGGATCACCTCCTTCAACCTGCTGGTCATGCTCCTTTTGATGCATCCCAGGATACGTTTGGCCTTCTGGGCTGCAAGCGCACACTGAAGCTGGCTCATGTTCATTTTCTCATCGACCAGCACCCCAAGTCCTTCTCCACAGGGCTGCTCTGAATCTCTTCTCTGCCCAGCCTGTAGCTGAGACTGGGATTGCTTCGACCGAGCTGTAGGACCTTGCACTTGGCATGGTTAAACTTCATGAGGTTGGCATCAGCCCACCTCACAAGTGTGTCAAGGTCCCTCTGGATGGCATTCCTTCCCTCCAGTGTATCAACTGAACCACACAGCTTGGTGTCATCGGCAAACTTGCTGAGGGCGCACTCAATCCCACTGTCCATGTCACCAACAAAGATGTTAAACAAGACCGGTCCCAACACTGATCCCTGAAGGACACCACTTGTTACTGGTCTCCAGCTGGACATTGAGCCATTGACCATAACTCTTTGTGTGTGTGTCCATCCAGCCAGTTCTTTATCCACCCAGTGGTCCACCTATCAAATTGATGTCTCTCCAGTTTAGAGACAAGGATGTTGTGTGGGACAGTGTTGAACGCTTTGCACAAATTAAGACTGAGTAGGAAACTTACCTTTAAAGTACCTGTTTTACAGTTCCTCATATCAATAAAATGAATGTTCATCACCCCCACCTCCTGCAAATCATAGAATCATAGAATAGTTAGGGTTGGAAAGGACCTTAAGATCATCAAGTTCCAACCCCCCTGCCATCGCCAGGGACACCTTGCTCTAAACCATATTACCTCATATATCAGTCCCTACACTAATGCTTTAGAGAGAATTTAGGCAGAGATCAGCCATTTTCATGTTATGCGAAGCATTAAGAAAAATATTTATTTATGTATTCTGGATTAGCTGGTAGAATGTCTGACTCTGAAAAGACCAAATATCAATTTGCTGCATGGTTCTAATTTGGAAAGAAAAACCGAAGAGTAAAGAAAAGCAAACTAGATTACTTCTTCAGGAAATCTTAACATAATCCACGCTTGCATTATCTATTAGGTTTTTCTTTCAGTTTCTCCTTCTGCCTCAACCCTTTCTTAGGGAAGAGCTGAAAACAAGTTGTCAGCAAGAGGTGCTTCTGAACACCAGCACCTTTCCTAAAACATTGTCTTTCATTAAAAGCTGCTGTGGTTGCAAAACTATCTTGAAAGCATGAACTGAGAGCAACCTGGGCACAGATGTCTGTTTAAGCTTTCACAAAGTCTGAGATAATAGCTCTGAGAGATGTGAGCCTCATCTCAACAGGGTTTTCTCTCATATGCCTTCTATTTTAAATGTGAACTTTCTCTACTCTTCCTGCTCTTCCAGGTTAAGTCACTGCTTCCAGTCAATCTGCTCTAGTGACAAGGCATGCATTTACTGTGGGAAAGAAACCCTACCCAATTTTTCCCCAATTACGATAAAATAAGTTCCAAGTGACCTGATGGTCCTGTCTGCCAAGACAGACACCATGCCAAGAGGCTGGCTGGAATCACACAGTAGATCAGCCTGGAGGGCCACCAGACCACTTTTCTGTCTGTAAAAGTGGCAAGCATCAGCAGCTTAAGAGAGATGCAAACACACAGTAGGCTTATAAAAGTCAGTGTAATCCAAAACACAGATTTACCGAAATCCTGAAATATAGCATATTTTTTATTTTCTGGTATGCTTCAAATGGATTTTTTCCACACATAAAATGTCTCTGTATCTGGATAATCCTCCAATCCAAATTCAGTCTTGCTAAATTATTGGCCCTTTTTTTTTTGCAGCAGAGTTCCAAATTCTGTGTGCTTTGCAGAACATACTGGGAGAGAGAAGGAGGGCAGAAGAGAGGTAGAGAGACAGATGTACGGACAACATTGCAGTGGTTTCCTTCCCCCTGTATGCTTTCTGGTGTACTCAGCTTCACTTCCTGCTGCTGAAGCCCTTTTGGTTCTGCAGCATCCCCGGGTGCAGGACATAGCCTGTCTTGGGGCTTCAGCTGAGCAGCTTTGGGCTGCTGCAGAAGGGTCCCGGCCTGACTCTCCCCATTGCTCCCTCATCTCTCCTGTCCCTTTAGTTCAGACTGATCCTATCAGAGAATTTAACAGTGAGCAAGTTTAAGCTGCCTCCTTCAGGGGCCTCTCATGGTATACAAAAATATACATTTGATGTTTTTTCTATCCCCCTCCCTGAGCTATATGAAGCACGTGGCTATGTGTTAAGGAGACAAAACCCCAAACAATTTAATTTACTTCAGTGGGAGTTGCCAATGCTGGCTGTTAAAACACAGCCCAAAACAGTTGCAAAATGAAGGCTGGGAAAGTAAGTACTTGAAACCCAGGAAAATCCCAAAGCTAAGGTTTCTGCTGCAACATTCAGTAGTTTTCACTGCACATCTATATGTTTTATTATTGTTTAATCTATATCCTGTGAGGTGTGTAGGATGTGTAATGAAGCCAAAACAATATTGCTTCGGAATGGTTAGTATTTGCAATTTCCTGACTTTTGAATATTTGATTTTCTTCATCCTCGGTAATGCACTAATGCTGTTTTATGTGTTTAATATATAATTGGCTTGATTTTTTCTTCAACTGTCGATAGGATTAGTTTCTGAGCAGGAGTGAACAGAATGATGCTTTTTCTCTAGCCCGGTACCACAGAATCTATTTAGTGCATTTTTTTCATTGCAGTGATACTACGCTGGGTGAGGGAAACTTGGTGTAGGTGGGAATTTGGCTGCTCAGTGCCTCTCAGATGAATGAGACTTGGAAGCCTCTCAAGGACAGCGTTCTTTTTCCTTCCTTTCCAAACTCACTGGAAACACTCGAGGGTATAAAGCTTTTTAATGTGTGTTTATGGGACGGTGCGTTTACTTCAGCGCCTTCCCCCGCAGCACCACCTCTTGAGCAGCCCGGGAGCCTGTTTGTTTAGCACTCGGTAAAAATAAGAGGCTAAACAGATTACCGCAGGTTAAATTAACATTTATGACCTTTAGCATGAAAGGCTCCACTTTCCCGCTGTGCACGAAGAATGTAGAAGGGATGCTAAGATGTACAAGCCAATACGCTCTCCAGGCTCAGCTGAGGAGTTACTTTGGAGCTGGTGATGGCGTCCAAATGGTGGAACGTGCCGGCCTCGCTGCTGCCGTACCTGTGCGCTGCCCTACTCCACCTTCAAGGGGCCTCCGCCCGGGTCCGCACCGGCACCAGTCCTGGGTGTTGCGGCCACCGCGGACCGGACCTGGCGCTCCAGGACCCGCGCACCTGCCGCGGCGGGCAGGGGCTGCTATCCGCCTACCCCTTAAGGGAGCAGGCCCCCTGGCCCTCCCCCGTCGGGCTCAGGTGACACCGGCCCCGGCGGCTCCCGGGGCCGCAGCGGAGCTTCCTGCTTCCCAGAAGGTGCCGGAGCGACTGCAACAGGAACTGAGAGACGGGGGGAGGAGGCGGTGCCGCCGCCCCGCTTCAGTCGCGGCCCGAGCCGGGGGAGCGGAGCGGAGCAGCCATGGGCCACCGCCCGCCGCCGCCGCGCTGAGCCGCCCCCGGCACCGACGGCAGAGGGGCCGGCGCCGCCCGCTCGCCCCTGCCGGGCGGGGCGCTTCTCGCCGCGGGGCGCTGGAGCAGCCGCGGGGGCCCGCGATGTAACCATGGACAGCAGGTTCAAGTGAGTGTGTGTGTGGGAGCGACAGGCAAGGGTCGCGGAGGGGCTGTCAGGCGCGGCGGGCCGAGCTGAGCTCTGCGGCGGGCAGGCGGCGAGTAGGCCTCGCAACCACCCCGGCCTGCCGGGCCCGCCAGGCGGCAGGCGGGCGGGCATGGAGGGAGGGGAGAAGGGGGAGCGCACCCGGCGGGAGCGTGCGAGGGGCCGGGCGCGCCGCGGCCGCTGAATGACAGCGGGGCGGGCGGGAGGCAGCGGGGCCGGGAGCGGGCGCTGCGCAGCCGGCCGGGGCGAGGCGGGACCCGTGGCGCGGGGGGAGCGGGACCCGTGGCGCGGGGGGAGCGGGACGGCGCCCCCCAGGCTGGCCCGGAGCAGGGGGAGGAGGCGGCTCTAGCCCCCGACCTCTCCGCAGCCCTTTGCCGTGTCCTGCAGCCGCAGGGCGCCTGCCCTGGCATTGCCCGACCGCCGCTGCGGGGGGACCGCGCTCCTGCAGCCGCCGGCCTCGCCGTGCCGTGCCGTGCCGTGCCGGTCAGAGGTGTGGGTCCGGGAGGAGCAGCGTGTGCTTTGTCGGGCTGTGGCTGGGGAAGGGGGACCATTAAATGGTGGTAGCTGGTTCCTGAGGCGCCCACCAGGCGCGGGCCCAGCACCCTGCATGGGTCGCCGGAGCTTCCTCAGGCCTCGGCAGTGACCTTGCCTGCAGGGCCTGGCGGGCTAAGGTTGGTAACGTGAATCTCTCCAGCAGCTACAAACCTTCTTGCCATTGTCGTAAGGCAGGTGCAAATGCAGGTTTTTAGGTGTTTACAAGCACTGCTGTCCAGCCTTCCGCTTCAGGAGCGGCCCCTGGTCTTGCTGACATTGGAAATTGACGAGATGTTAAACACAGGTTTTGGAAATTGACAAAAAAAGTGTCCGTGTAAATATACGAAGAATGAGCAGGCTTCTGCCCGGTAGCTGTAAAGGAAACGAGAGACAGTCTGACAATGCTCAGATTAGTTTGACACATTTTTGACACTTATAAGCATAGTGGGATGTGAGGAGTAAACTTAGAAGCATTTTTCTGCAAAAGCAGATTTCGAGTGGTATAGTGAAAGACAGAAGGCAGTGTTACTTCAAAGAGCCTTTTTCGTCAGGGTAGTTCAGCTTGGAGTTGAGCTAGAAGCACTCCTCCGGTGTTTGTAACACTTACTGGTACATATTAAAAAACCCAGCATTGCAGGGTGGGTTTAGGGAGAAAAGGAAAGGGGAAATGGCCTGAGAGTATAAACCCAGTGCCTGAGCTAAGAGTGATGTCGTGAGGAGACGTCACTGTTTTTAAGGGAAGGTTTTTTGTAGTTCCCTTTTCTAGGTGGCTCAGTGAAGCCAACCCTTATCAGTTTTGTCCTGGCCCTGTTCCCCAGCCAGAGGAGCAATGGCTGGACTTTAATAGCAGAGTAAATCCCCAATATGCTGTATTTAGGCTGTTGTAACTCAGAGCAGAATTTGATCTACTACATACAGGATCAGTAGATAAAGGGTTTTCCCAACTAAATGCTTTAAAATGCGATGCAAAGAAAGACTGTGATACAGGCAGGTTATGTCTCCATAACCTGAATTAGACTATAATTGCATATCTCAGTTGATGATGGTCTGTGAAAGCATGTACTGAATCAGTTAATTTGTGACAGCTGAAATTTCACCCAGCTCCACCTTTGGATGTCATTCAAAACTTTCGTTAAAGAAACAACAGGCTGTTAATTTGCTGCCTGCTGTATTTGAAGCATTCTAGAAACCTGGAACCAAGTCTTGGGTTTCCTCATTTACCTAAAACTCCAGCTCTCTTCAGAGGGAGTGTTACCCAGGAAGGGAGTTCAAGTGTGAGCCTTTTATGTGGTTAAATAGATAATTGATATGGGTGTGGTTGTACCATTTGTTTTTAATATAAATAGCAGCGTGCTTGGTAAGTAGAGAGAGGTGGGTGGTAGAGTAATGGCATTTAGAACTGTTTTAATAAATATTTAGTTTGGGGTTAGGTTGAGTGTAAATTGCTGATGGCCTATGCAGTTTGTTATTAACAGGTGTGTATTTACTGGGGAGGTGAAAGAGGCACTGGCCTTCGCACTGGCCTTCACGCTGGCCATGATGGCTGCTGCAGATATGGAGGCTCCATCCTCTTGGCCAGCTCAGGGTTGTGTCCATCCCTAATTATTGCATTAATGTTTTCTCATTCACTGAATCATGCGTGAGATTCAGCCCTTAAATTTAAAGATCAATATCTTGTGAAAGAAGCAGCTCAGTGATTTTTAGCCTTATGGAGGTAATCATATACATTTAAAGGGTAGTGGCTGAATTTGTGCAATTACAGTGGCAGTCTAATTATGAGCTATTTCTATTAAGTAGAAATAAAATGTAGCTCTAGAAAATGCTGCCCTTGACTCCATTAATATGTTTCAGATTGATTGGTAAGGATTTTAGTGGCTTTTTTTTTCCCCGACTGTTAGCCATGGTGTGATGGAGTGACTTAAAAGCTATTTGATGTATAATGCAGTATAAAGTATCACTTAAATAGTGATAATGCAGTAGTGATAATGCAGTAAATAGTATCACTTAAATCAGACAGTTTAGCTTCATCTTCCTTATTCTTTTTTAAGGCTGTACAGGCAAATGTGACTTTATTTTTCCTTAGAACTAAATTGATTTCTAATTTTATTTTAATGAAATTTTAATTTATTTTAATGCTATTCTGTGCAAATAGAATGGAAAAGATATAACACAGTAGAAATACAATCTGAAACGTATATGTGATTAATCAATTAATTGTTTGCTCCTTCTAGGGAAAATCCAGAACGTACCTTTGATTTGGTACTGAAAGTAAAATGCCAGGCATCTGAAAATGAAGGTAATATACCCTACTTATTGATGCTTATTTGTGGAAATGAGATGGGAAAAAAGTTACATCCTGATCTAGTATCATCTTATGTTTTGAATTGCTCTTGGATTGGGGTTGTATGAGAAAGCATGTGGTTATTTTATTGCCTTTTAGAATCTAGTTATGTGTTAAATTATAGTTGTTGTGGGTTTTTGTTGTTATAAGCCATTTTCATTTTGGCTATTGTAAAAATATTTTTGTTCTGAGAGAAATACTTGCAAAGCTTGGACTTGAAATACATCTTCTACAGTTCTGAAGTCTTGAAATGTTAATTCTGTATAGATTTGATTTTAGCAGAGCAGTTGACTTCTTTCTATCAGTGGAATGTTAATTTTAATCTGTGTGATAGGGAGAAAGTAAGTTCTTTTTTGAGCAACAGTCTTTCTAGCTCATGTTTGGCAGCTGCTTTGGTTTGATACATTATAAACAGCAATGAGTGCTGACCTGAGCTTATAGTAGCTGTCAGTTTCATGTCTCTATAAACACGTAGTAAAGAGACGTAGCAATGCAAGAGTTATCTGAGAGAGGCCTTTTTCCTCTTGGGTAAAAAGAAGATGGTATTTCCAGTGCTGAAATTAAAGTGACCTCTAGAAAGTCCACTGGGGGAACTTGGTTTCTGTTCTCATCTGAGGTTGTTGGCCTTAGAAAAACACAGGGAGAGAAGTCTCATTGGGGTTGTGTTGTGGTCATATTAGTCTGTGACAGCTCTATCTTAATCACAATTTTATAAACAATAAACTACATCTAAAAAGTGAATATATTTCTTATTCTTCTGTGCTGGTGAATGCTGTTTACAGGGTTTATCTATGTAACACATCTGAAGCCTGTAGAAGTTTATAGCCCCAAACTATGCCTTTTAAAAATTTTTTAATTTCAGCCACTGATTCTGTTAGTGGTGTCATGGGTACATGACTAATTCATCTGCAAAACCTATTTTGTTAACACTGGAAAATGGTAGTTCTTTAGAGCTCTTCCTGACAATTGCAACAGGCTGCTTTTTTTTTAATTTGCTCCTCTTCATAAGATGGTTCATTTAGCTGTGGAATGACATCTTGGTCCTGGTGCAGCCCTCGGGTATTTTCACTTTATTTGTGACCACCTAGTGTCCTTTGTTTTATTGCCTGCTTTTTTGGTTTGCTGTTAGTATAGACATGGTTTGGGTAATCAGATGAGCTTTCCTAACTCTGATCTTTGTTGTGGTTTGCATCATGGCACATTTTACCTTCTGTTCCTTTGCAGTTTTTGCCATAGTAATTTCACAGATACTGTCTGTGTACTCTGCTTAGCTACTTGACTTCTGATCTGTTCTTTCTTGAATTGTGCATCTATTCTCTGCCTCCACCTGACATCCCTTCCTGGCGGCTCATTCACATCTTGGCTTAAGCCCAGCATCAACCTGAAAATTTTATTCCATTTTTTTCTTTCCTTCCTGAGAGCTAGACTGTTGATAATCCTTTAAGGTCTTCATCTTGAAAAATTTGTGGTTTTTGTTTTGATCTCCCTTTTGACTTCTGATTTTTGCTTTGCATCTTTCTGCATCTGCTGCCATGAGAAACTACTTCTCATTACCTGCGGCACTATGAATGACTGCCTATGCCTGAACTGTGCTTGTAGTCACTTCCCCTCCCTCCCTTGGTGGGTGTTTTGTGCTGTTCATCAGCTGTCCTATGTGGAAAGTAGTGTCTTTAAGAAATCTGTATATGTGCTTGAACTGTGACCTGAGTTAACGTGGAGACTGTATTTGTGACAGTATTGAGGGTGTTCCCTCTTCTATTCCGCTTTTTGCTATCATACCTCCTACCCCGTGTGGGCTCAGTTGCCGTTTGTCTGAGTGGCCAAAGGCAGAAAGGAGGTCTGACACTGGAAGTGTTGGAGTCTGTGGTGTGTCAACTACTGAGAGGTTCCCGGAGACTGTATAGATTTTTACATGAGTCCACAGATCAGCCCAAAAGTGCAGTCCCCTTTTAACAATCGAATTGTGCTGGCTGAATATTCCTGCTGTACTTGATGACCCATCTGGGATCTGTTTTATTTTCTTTCATATTATATCTAATTCAGTTAACAAACTCACTCTGATGAGGGCTTGACATCATATTTACATATGGTATTATGAGCACAGTGATGTATCAAATTAATATATCTGAATGTTGAAGTTATTTAAAGGAAATTCACAAGGGCGAAAGTGTATTGTCTTCTCCACCACTTCAGAAATGGAGCACAAGGCTTGTCATGCTAAACAGGGAGCTTTCAAGGTTGGTTTATTATAAGGCCTAACAAATTTGACAGTTACCCCGTATTGTAGGTCTTGCCTTTAAATAGATTTTCATGCTAGGATAATCTTTCAAATATATCATACTTGAAAACGTGATCCGTTCACCTGTTTCTTTGCCCATGCCTCTTTCTTATGAAAAAGATTTGTGTTTAAATAAGGGCTTTCTCCCTCGCATCCCATCTGCTCCTTGTACTTGATCCTGAAGCTATGTCAGGGCTGAATTTGCGACATCGCTGTCACCAGTGTTGCCGTGGAAATATCACAGCCACAAAATTATGATCTCCCTGCATGAGTGAGCAGCAGGAGAAGCTGACTTAGGGGAAAGGAAGACCTTAATGTGACCCATGTATCTTTAAGCTTTTTCTTTTCAGGCTTTACTGTAGTGTGCATTCTCCTTCATTTTAATTTCACTGTGCCAGCGTGTTACTGTTCTAACAAATAACACTTGAGGTAGCCTACCTACTGCATGTGTAGCTATTAACAAGATGGTGCTTTTATGGGGGCACTATAAGCCTGTAACAGTGTGGCATGTTAAGAAATTTTGCTGTTGAAATTCTTATGCTTTTGGAAAAGTATTTTTAGGTAATTTCTTAATTACAGCATAGCTCACAAGGAATGTTTATTTTTTGCATCTGAGAAAGTTCTAGGGCTCTTCTGGCTATAAAGGATCATACATACATGAAATGCAGCAAGGTTTATATGTATAATAAAATGTGTACTTAAATCATGCCACTAATTATTTCCAGAATTGGTTTCTATTCAGTGTAAATGCCTAAGAGGTTTCATGTAGGTTAAAAAAAATTTACCTATTCATGTATCATAGGTAGCTCCTGAAGTGGTTTCAGGTTGAGCTGTCTGGTTATAGCTGGATCATGCTAGTTGAGCATGTCTAGTTATAGCTGGATCAAAATTTTGTTTTCCCATTGGGTATCTGTGTTTTTGTCATTCAAGAGTAGGTTGCATACTTGAATATTTATTTCTTAATACTTTATTACTGACTGGCTAGATCATCCTTTTGGGCTTTCTCTGTTTTAAACTACAAGAGTGTATAACAGCATTTCTAGAATAGTGATCTTCTAATTCTTATATTTGAGTAAGAGAGAAAAAAGGGTACTCTTTACATAAATATTCTTACAACTGAACACTCAATTGAGCTAATAGCATGAGTTGTAATAGTTTTTTACTGTTTCTGTCAAGCTTTGTTTATTCTTCACTCAGGTAATATAAAATAAATAACATCTGCTTATTAGAGGGGCCTAGTGTCTATCCTTAGCACAAAACAGGGTATGGGTCCCTCAACAACACAGAATTTAGTCTGTATTTTCAGACTGAATGATGCTTTTGATATTGCGCTACAAGAAAGGCTTAACCTTGAAAGTTGCATTTCAGCTGTATTTAGACAGTTGAGGCATATATTCCAAAGAGGAGAAAAATATCCCTTTAGGATCAGAATCAGATTGTAGCCTATGACATAACTTCCAGTCCTTGGCAGCATGGTCAGGATGGTAAGCATTGATTAACGTGATATGTTGCAACACAGTAACTAGTTAGTGTGGCAGCTTTTTATTGGGAAAACTCATAACCCAATGCTTGCAAAACTTTGAGATTAATTAACTTCTGTTCACCAGAGTTTGCTCAGTGACTGGGATTATCAGTGGTAAACTATTCTAACAGCCCAGTATTCGTTAATAGTGAAATTGGCTTGCAGTGTCAGTATCACTTAATAATAAAAGTTTTTACATTGCCTCCTAGGCAGTTGCAGATTTGTGTAACTCTTTCCTATGTCACTTCTAATGAACAAGAAAAAAAAATAAAAGAAATAGCAAAAATGGGTGCCCGTTTTAACATTACCAGCTGGCCCTCTGTATTAAATTTTTACTTGCAGACCCAGAGGATGACTTGATAACAGGTAGTAATATTATTGAAACTGTTGTCTTAAGGATGAGCATTGCTCTTTAGTTTTATGGCAAAAAGATGGAAGTTTTTTGTACTTTGGGTTGAACCACTCTTTCTAGGTATCAGAAGTAATGCAGTGTTACAGTTGTCCTGAGTACAGTCTTACATGATGCTATTGGTTCAAGCTTGTATGACAGCTGCACCTACAGCAACTTTACTCTTCTCCTGACAGTCTCTTGTCTCTTGAAAATTATGCTGCACCTCATGCTATATGGTATGCTTGAGCCTAGAAATTGGCTAAACATAGCAGTCTGCACCTTATTTATTTATTTCTTTTTCTTCCTTTCCTTTTTCTTTTTTCTATCCAGGCACTTCCATCATGAAAAGTAAACTGAATTTCTGGAAAGTTGATGTTTCTGAGCTCCTCCACAAGACATGTCCCAAATACTAGTGCTAGTGTAATCTATGAGAAGAGTACATATGTATCTATGTATCTATAAGTATATACGTATACAGTATGTGCACACACACACATATATGTATGAATTTTAGATTTTGATTAAATGTGCAAAGACGAAGTTGGTAGTTTACCTGATTTTATAAACTGTATGTCCTATACTGATTTTGTTAAAACAGGATTGCAGAGGCCAAACACAAAAGGCAATGCAAATAGAGCAGCTAGTAGTAGAAAGACATAAGGTCTTTGGCATTTCTGTCCATGGTTTCCTCAGAAGATGACTCAGATTGGTTTCAGTTTGTGTGGTTAAGAGAGTGTTGTTTGCTGCACCTTCGTTTTCTTTTA